AAAGCAATGATAATATGTAAGGGACTAAATTTATTTATTTTTTTGAGACAGAGTCTCACTTTGTTGCTCTCAGTAGAGCGTGGTGGCATCACAGTTCACAGCAACCTCCAACTCTTGGGCTTCAGTGATTCTCTTGCCTCAGCCTCCCAACTAGCTAAGACTACAGGTACCCACCACAATGCCCAGCTACTTTTTGGTTGTAGTTGTCACTGTTGTTTGGCAGGCCTGGGCTGGGTTTGAACCTGCCAGCTCCAAAGTATGTGGTTGGCACCCTTAGCCACTGAGCTATAGGCGCCAAGCCTACATTTACTTTTATTATGAAAATTAATTGACAGAAAATTGAAAACAAAGTTTAGGCCTTTCTCCATCTCAGCTGCTGGTGCAGGGTGAGGTGGAAGCTGATTGTAAAGCACAGTGGGTAGTGTGCAAGGGCTCCCGCAGGTGTGGAAGTACCTTAGTAATCAAGTAAGAAAACTCACCTGCCTGCTAAATAACATCAAATGCCCACTGTTGCCATGTTAGGTTGAAACATGTGATAATTGCTGCCTCACCAAGTTACCACGAGCATCTCATGTCTGATGGTGTCAATTCAAATGCGCTTGGAAGAGAACACGCTGGAAGCTGCACAAAGCGTAAAACTGAAGCCACTCAAGTGTACAAATGGTGAGAGCATCACATTTGTTTATTTTACATGACATCGAGACAAGACAGTTGTCTATAAAATTCACTTTTTTTTTTTTTTTTTTGCGGTTTTTGGCTGGGGCTGGGTTTGAACCCGCCACCTCTGGCATATGGGGCTGGCGCCCTACTCCTTTGAGCCACAGGCGCTGCCCCTATAAAGTTCACTCTTGAAAACTGCGCAATCAAGTTTGATTTTCCATCAAAGAAAATCACCAAAATCCTCATGTTATAAGTTTACAATTTTGTGTTGGGCCACATTCACAGCCATCCTGGACCACATGTGGCCGGTGGACACCGCTGCTCTAAATTATACTTTTCTAGACACAAGGTAAAGTGCAGCTGGATGAAGGTACTCTTTCAGGGCCCACAAAATCTGGGCAACCACAACAAATGAAATCATAGACTAATCATAGTATTCACACTTTCATCTTTTTTTTTTTTTTTTGAGACAGAGTCTCACTATGTCACCCTGGGTAGAGTGCCGTAGTGTCACAGCTCACAACAACCTCTAAATCTTGGGCTTAAGCAATTCTTTTGCCTCAGCTTTCCAAGTAGCTGGGACTACAGGCACCCACCACAACACCCAGCTACTTTTGTTTTTTGTTGCAGTTGTCATTGTTGTTCAGCTGACCCAGGCTGGGTTTGAGCCCACCAGCCTCAGTGTATATGGCTGGTGCCATAACCACTGTGCTACGTACGGATGTCAAGTCACACTTTCATCTTTTCATTATTTTATTTTATTTATTTATTTATTTATTTTGAGACAGCCTCAAGCTGTCGCCCTGGGTAGAGTGCTGTGTGGCATCACAGCTCACAGCAACCTTCAACTCCTGGCCTTAAGCAGTTCTCTTACCTCAGCCTCCCAAGTAGCTGGGACTACAGGAGCCCACTATAAAGGCCCAGCTATGTTTTGGCTGTAGATGTCATTGTTGTTTGGCAGGCCCGGGCTGGATTCGAAACTGCAAGCTCTGGAGTATGTGTCTGGCACCTTAGCTGCTTGAGCTACAGGTGCCGAGCCCTTTCATCTTTTTAATAAGGAATTTAAGACCCATAGTTTAGAGAACAATGTTCAATCCGTTAAGAAGACACAGGCTCAGCGCCTGTGGCTCAAGCGGCTAAGGCGCCAGCCACATATACCTAAGGTGGCAGGTTCGAATCCCCAGCCCGGGCCCACCAAAAAACAATGATGGCTGCAACCAAAAAATGGCCAGGCGTTGTGGCGGGCGCCTGTAGTCCCAGCTACTTGGGAGGCTGAGGCAGGAGACTCACTTGAGCCCAGGAGTTGGAGGTTGCTATGAGCGTGATGCCATGGGACTCTACCCGGGGGACAGCTTGAGGCTCCGTCTCAAAAAAAAAAAAGGAGACACAAATTCAAGATGGTAAAAATATTAAACAAATGACAACATGCCACTTCTTTATTTCAGGGTCCCAAAGTCAAAAGTAAGATTGGAACTAATACATTCAGTCTATCACAGATATTTAGTATATACTCAATGCAATAATGTACTAACAATTTTATGAAAAACCACTGCAATATTATACATTTCTGGATTTTACATGATCTTTCCCATAGCTATTGAAAATTTCAGCTTCAGTTTGAAACATGACAGCCTATAAATTGTTAGTGGTTCTGTTTCTTTGGAAAAGTATAATTGTGGAATTTATTTATTGTAGCAGATAGCTAAAAGGGAAAAATATACGCTGACCTATAGCTAAGTTTTTGACAATGCCATGGAGCAAAACCCAACACAGTTGTTGAAAATAAAAAGCTTTTGCATTGGCTGGGCACCCATAGCTTAATGGTTCGAGTGCCTGCCCTGTGCACAAGGGGTGGCGGGTTCAAACCCAGCCGGGGCCTGCTAAACCAAAAAATAAAAAAAGCTATTGCATTGGTCTTGAGACTTTGCCCCCTTTCTGGGTTAGGAGGCTGACTGACCCTGTTCTATTTGTCTTGATAGATTTTCTCTTCTATGACACAGACCCCCAAGAGATAAGATCTGATTAGTCTCTCAGACTAGATCCATTTGACCCTTCTGATTTCTCCCTAGTTTCTTCCCTATCTGTGAATTTTATGTATTATGTATGTATGTATTGTTTTGGAGACAGGGTCTCACTCTGTTGCCAAGGCTGGAGTGGAGTGGCATCATTATAGCTCACTGCAGCCTCCAACTCCTCAGCTCAGGATCCTCCTGCCTCAGCCTCCCACATAGCTGGGACTACAGGTATGCACCATCATATATGGCTTAATTTATTGTTTCTTGGCTTGGAGCCTGTGGCTCAAGTGGCCAAGGCGCCAGCCACATACACCTAAGGTGGCGGGTTCAAATCCAGCCTGGGCCTGCCAAAACAACAATGATGTCTGCAACCAAAAAATAGCTGGGCGCTGTGGCGGGCGCCTGTGGTCCCAACTACTTGGGAGGCTGAGGCAGGAGACTCACTTGAGCCCAGGAGTTAGAGGTTGCTGTGAACTGTGATG